ACAACTTCAATTAAATCTTTTTTACAATTATGTATATACAAACAAGATTTATTATTTGTTAAAAAAAAGGCCAATAACTTCATTTAAAGTGCATTTAAATAGAAAATGACTAGATTATTGTTTGGATTTTAAAAAATTGAAACTTGAAAAGCAAAATCATTATTTTATATATAAGGAAAACATTAAATTTTAATATATATTATTAGAGAAAAGAAATAGACTTGAATTTAAGATATAAATGCAATAATATTAGGTATTATTTTTCTCTAAAATAAATATAATTTAATAAAAAGGCTTTAAACGGCCTGGCCTGACTCATTGGGCCTAATTAGCATGTCCTAGCCCGTCCAAAGATATGGGTCGTGCCGTGTCGGGCGTTACTTAAACAGGCCATGCTCTGAAGCCAAAATATCCATCTGCCCTAAAGCAAATTTATCCTTATCTCCACGCACCTTTTATAGAAAAAGGCCAAAAGTCACTTTTAGTCCCTGTAATTTGGCACTTCAACCACTTTTGAAGCTGTAGTTTCAATTTCGTCAATTTTGCCATTGTAGTTTCGTATTTGTAGCAATTGTTAGAATTCTTGTCAATTTCTTTAACGATGCAAGGGGCAATTTCGTCAATCCAAAACCCTCGAGCGTAAAAGCTTGTTTGAAATTCTCCCCATTTCATATTAGGGCTCAAAATTCAACTAATAATCCCAATTTTTTAAGAACCCAAAATCCAAATGACCAATTTCAAGCCCTAATATGAAATTAGAGGAGTTTCAGACAAGCTGTTATGCTCAATGATTTTGAGTTGACAAAATTGCCCCTTGCATCGTCAAAGAAATTGACAAGAATACTAATTTGTCTTTGAATTGCTACAAATATGAAACTAGGGTCAAAATTGATGGAATTGAAACTACAGGGTCAAAAGTGGTTGAAGTGACAAACTACAGGGACCAAAAGTGACTTTTAGCCATAGAAAAATGTAGTTACACCTTCTTCAAATTAGCTAGGATTACATACTTGCAATTAGAGAACCTTCTTTCGGTAATAAACTTCCAACACCATACGGGTAATCAACAAAGTCATCTACCTATACAATGTAGGTTGAAAACACTACACAAACACTATATCATACAACCGGTCAACAAAGTCATCTACCTATACTCATAATATGCAAGCACGCTGCACGTACAATACCTACAACACAGGTCGGAAAAAAAAACAAAAAAACAAAACAGAGTGAAGTTATGTAGGAGGTAGATTAGAACTCCAAGGCAACTCTATGACGAACCTAAATTAACAAGGACATATATTGGTGGTTTGCTCATAAAAATAATAATCTTCATTCATATCAAGATTTTGTTAACTTCCCAAAAATCCTTTGATTGTTTCAGCATAATTTAGTTGTCAAGGTGTTTTGTGCCCGCTTGTGCTTCCAGCACTTTTAGTAAGTGCTTTCGTAATGACATGA